AGCAAATTTCATCAGCTTTACTTTAGGTGTCAGTTTCAGATGTCAAGAGGTCCTGAGAACAGGGCCTGGGACCTAACATTTCAATGCTTCTTTAATCCTATTCTTGATTATTTGTAGGAAAGGAGGTTACACAGCCAGTTTCTAACTTGTTCTTTTACTCATTCTTTCATACATTTTAAGAATATTTACAGAATAGTCTTAACATGTTAATTAAGCACCAAAGATACAGACACGCATGACACTCATTCCCTCTCCTATACAGGAGTTCAGACACGTGTCAAAATAACTATAACATAATATGATAAGCATTTTAATAGTCACAAGCAGACAGTCTTTTTGGAACCCAAGTTTGCTGGGGGTGGGAATACTAGAGGGAGTCCACGGAGTATCATGTAAGCTCAGAATTCAAGCAAAGTAAAAGCTCTCTACCCTCCTTCAAGGCTGAATCATGCAGATGTCTGGCCAAGGGGAGAACATTTCACCCAATACAATTATCCTCTTGGTTTCACTCAAGTGGCAACAGAACTCAAAGCAAAGTCCACAAAATAAAGCCAGTAACCAAAAGGAAAATAAAAGAAGCAACTTTGGGCAAACAAGCAGAGAAGTGAGCAGGGTCTACCCATTTGGCTCAGGAAAGCGCAACAGCGGGTTACACAGGAGGATGACGGGAATTCGGGCCTGAACACACGCAGGGACACTCACCCATATGCACACACCCATTATGTCATCCTTCTCCGTCAGGGCAGCACGCTGGCTCAGAGCTTATCTCTGAACATTTGGAAAGAGTTACCTTGCTTTAATTTACTGAATAAATCTGAAAGTGTCTGCGGATGTGTCCAGATTGAAGGCAAGCAGTATCACAGCTGGGAAGGGAGGTGCGAAGGCCCCCCCGCTGAGTGTGGGCCGATGGTCGCGCAAGAGTCGCCCCCCCCCCCGCCCCCGTGAAAGGGAAGACCGACCAGGGATGAGAGGCGGAGGGAGTTCAAGGGCAGAAGGTCTTCGTCTCCCTCCACAGAAGGAAGGCACCATTGGATTGCGTACTCTCACACTTGCTTATGTTCTTCCTGCCTTAGCTCTAAAGGGACTCAAGAAATTCAGAGTGAGTGAAATAAAATGAGATGAGGGATCGAGAGCTTGACAGATGCCAAGAATTTTCCCCGACCTCTGAGGCCTGGGGTTCTGGGGATGTAGCCAAGGGGGCTTCGTGTCCTTGTTTTATCTGCACTCAATTGCCCATCCCAGCCGAAAATGAGAAAGCTCTGTGCTGGTTTCAAGACGAATTTCATTTGCTGAAATCCAACAGACTGAGTCACCGAGACCTCAATTCATTTACACATTTATTTTAAGCACCTACACATTTATTTTAAGCACCTATTCAATGGTAGGCATTTTGCTAAAGCAAGGTGCCTGGAACTGCTCCTAGCTTGCTGGGTGGTAGGTGGGGGCAGTGGGAACGGAAGAATAAACACAGTGCTCAAGGGGGTCAGCTGGTGGCTTTTGAGCCGAGGCCACCAAGTGGACCAAGGATGGACACAGAATAGCACTCAAGGCTGAGGGGACAGCGTGTACATTCTCGAGGACGCACAGCCCCGCAGGCCTGTTTGCGGGGGGAGAGGGGTGGGTCTTGGGGGTGGCTCTCACTTTCAGGATCATTCAAGTCTAGAAGTCTGAGGTTTCTGTAAGGCTGGTCTCCGGGGAGTTGAGAGTATTTTTCTCTTCCTCGTCCTTTACCCAAGTGACCCCGTTCTTTCAAAAGCCTGCTATGCCACCAAAGAGAAACTTTCATCTAGGTTTATTAAGTGGTGAGCAAAAATAATACATGTGTCATCAAACAATTAAAATCCAGAGTTATTTAGACAGAGTTGAGATCAAGCAAAAAAAAAAAAAAATCACAGGACAGTTAATGTGGTGCTTAATGATAGACATTATTACTGCGTTGTCTGTTAATTAGATATAAATGCTATTTTGTTCCCATAAATGACAACAATGATTGGGCAGGGCTAGAAGTGTCTCAGAGACTTCTCAAGACTGGCCAGACATTCCTATTTGATGTCTACAAGGAAGGGGTCGAGTTGAGGAAGGGAGGGTCTCTGTGGGCTCCAGATACATTCTTTTGCTTGAGGAAAAGGTAGTTCTTTCCCCTCAAAGCTTATCCATATGCAGTCCTGAGCCTGAAGACAACTTTTGGGACCCTTCAGTCCCTGTCAAGAAGAGAAAGTCTAACTCAGCACTGAAGGACTGTAGAGGGACCCCCATTTTCTCCAGCCCGCAGCCCCTCACAAAGGCAGCCCTAGGACGTCTGCATTCTTCCTGCCCCTCTTCCAACTCTTGGACCTAAAGCACAGAGGATTTCCAGCAACAGGGTAAATGCAGGCTGGCCAGAGGGTGCTCTGCCAGCCCAGGAACAGAGCATTCCAGCTTGCCCGGGGTGGGCCTGGGGGCCTTTCTTTGGCTTGGTGTCAAGGGGGACGGCACCCTTCTCTCTTAGCTATTCTTTTGTGGGTTTAGCTCGTATTCTTATTTGATGCTCGTCGCCTTTCATTACCTTTTGTTGTAGACCGGGGTTTGCATGTGAACTTTATGTAGCCAGAAGAGGCTTTCTGGAGCCATTTAGATGTCCGCGAGTGACGGCTCTCTCAGCCACAAGTCAGCGAGGCAGAGATATCAATTTGAATTCTGGGCTTCCAATCAAATATTCAGAAAAGGACACTGTACCCTTTGAAAGTTGCAAAATAAACAGAACTTGGGCCTGGGAAGCAAATGTACTTCTGATTACTCTGAAGTTCTAGAGAGGACAGGATAGTCAGTGATTCCAACAACTTCAGGGAGGATAATTTCAGGCAAGAGCACAGAGAACAAATACAGAGTGATATCAAAGCAGCCCTTGTAACATCAAATTCCTATGAACCTACTCACATCCTGGGGAATGTCTGTCCCGATCTTTTAGCAATTATCATCTGCAAACCATGCCGCCCTATAGTCTGAATGGTTTTCGACAATTAGTAAGAATCCATACCCACGTCCTTAGAAGTGTTTGTTTTTCTTCCATATCATCAGGTCACAGACACTCAAAGCAACACTAGGAAAACACGTTCCTCCAGCGGAAAGAGCCCACATTTCATCTTCCTTCCAAGTCATGACACCACTCTACATGTACATTTCTGAGTCTCAGTTAACTGTAGTTTCATCACTGTATCCTTTAGAACTTTGCTACTTGAGAACCAGCGGCATCAGCATCACTTGGGAGCTTGCTGGAAAAGCAGACTCTCAGGACCTTCCCCAGACCGGCCAAATCAGCATCTGCAATCTCCTGGCATTTCACCCTACAGTGTTCTCACGAAAGACAATGTGAGTCTCACAAATCTGTAATCTACCAACAAAGAAGATGCTTTTGCATAGGAAACTCAAATACGACAGGACATATGTGGATATAAACAATGTATTAATACTAATAAATGTCAGCATGCTTACTAAATGCCAGACCAGGAGGTAGATACTGCCCTCTTCATGTGTTGGAGGCACAGGGTGCTTATCTAACCTGCACAAGATCACACAGAAAATTGCACAGTGGACGAGGCAGGATTTGAATCCAGGTGGCTTGACTTCCAAGGGCATGTTTTTAACCATTACACTCCACCCGCTCCTGGCGGTGTGCACCTGTACTCAGGAAATGAAACAGCTCTGATTCAGGGCCTGGAAGAAAAAGCTAGGTTGCTCTAAGGCCCACCATTGCAGGCTCGGTCACATTTAGAAGCAGAGACCACGTGAGCCAGAGATCAAAACCTCTAACAGAACCCTCCTGGGTCTGATCTGAGGTCAGCGAGGCACAGAGAGGGCATGTGGAACCCTGTGGTTCTCCCGATTGGGTGGAAAATGGGGGCCAGACAGGTCTGAGCCCCTACTGCACTTCCCGTCATGCTCCCCTGTCTCTTCCCCACCGTGTCCTACCTCTCTTGGGGTTTTGCTCTTCCAAAGACCCCTCCCACCCATCAGATAACCAAGGACAGCTGCTCCTTTCTTCACTTTCATTGAAAACCTGAGAACTGTTCTGCTTGAAGAAGTCATTTTGGGTCCTATCTGAAACCTCCTCATTAAAAAAAAAAAAAAAAAAGTCCAGTCCAGGAAGGCTGTGCTTTTACGTCACCCGTCAGTAGCTCTTCAGCTAAACGACATAGAAGGTGTAACAGGAAATTTCAGAGGTGATAACCAAGAACTCTTCCTTTTTGAAAATAAAGCCTGCCAGCTACTGGGCATTAATTAAGACGGCGTTTTAGTCTGGGGTCCCAAGAGTCACGTACCTGCCGGGGTCTCAGCTCCACTCATACATTTAGAGGTGCAAGAAGGGTGGCAGTCCGGGCCCAAATTAACATGGCCATGGAATCTGTGCCTATCTAAAGTGCCTATTGCTAACCAAAGGTTCTTTCTGGCACAGGTGAGCACCCCACAAAGATGTTCTCAGGCCCCAAGTGTTTGCAGAATAGGGGGGCAGGGAGTTGCTGGAACAGACTTCACAAGTCCAAAGAGGCCGAAAAACTCTTCCTGTTTAAGGTACAACTTTGCTATAAAAGGCACTGAACCACTTTCCTTTGGAAGCCTGCCCCATTTGGTGGGAGGCAAGATTAAATACACCCTGCCCTTAAAACGCCACCCTTGCCCTTGTGATGCCAACAGTTTCTTGATGGATCTGGCCGGGCCTTTTTCATAACCTCCACTTCAGAGGTAAGGAATGATTGTTGAGTCCCCTTTGAGGCACATGGTGGAAATATAAACCACTTAATACTTGAAATGTCAGACTGCGCCGTGGAAGATGTTCTAAGATCAAAAACACAGAGAGGACCAACCTGCCCTATTTTAGCGCACTTGTCCCAGAGCTCATGGTTTGGTGCTCCGTGGGCTGTGAGGAGGTAAAAGGCCATGGCCTGGCCAAACACAATGGAGTGGGCAGTTCCCGATCGATCACCCAGAGAATGTGCTACAGACACCCAGTCCAGGGCACTTACCTTGCACTGCCCAGACACGCAGATGGCCGTGCCATTCTGGTCACAGGGGGTACCATCAATGACCTTCTCAGCTTGCCGGACGTAGAAGCGGTAGCCCATTGCCTGGCAGTTCAACTCACACTTTCGGTTGCCCTTTACTACCAAAAAAAAAAAAAAAAAAAAGCATCTTTTTGCTTCCGGTATTCCTTACTGAGATAAAATTCACATAACATAAAAATAACCATTTTAACCAAAGTGTACAATTCAGTGATATTTAGTATATTCCCAATGTTGTGCAACCATCACCACTAACTAATTCTAGAACATTTCTATCACCCCAAAAAGAACCCCTGGACTTGTTCACTGTCACTCCTGGCCCCATACTTTGGCAACCACCAGCCTATTCTATTTTCTTTCTCTGGATTTGCCCATTCTGGACGTTTCATAATCACACACTTTTATTTATTTATTTATTTATTTTTAAATTTTATTAATGTTATGTTAATCACCATATATTACAACATTAGTTTTTGATGTAGTGTTCCATGATTCATTGTTTGCGTATAACACCCAGTGCTCCATGCAAAACGTGCCCTCTTTAATACCCATCACCAGGCTAACCCATCCCCCCACCCCCCCAGAACCCTTAGTTTGTTTTTCACAGTCCATAGTCTCCCATCGTTCGTCTCCCCCTCCGATTTCTCCCCCTTCCTTTCTCTACACCACACACATTTTTATTTTTTTAAGATTTTATTTATTTGAGAAAGAGAGCACAAGGAAGGGAGAGGCAGAGAGAGAGCAGGAGAATCAGACTCCCCGCTGAGAAGGGAGACTTACAAGGGACTCGATCCCAGGCCCTCGAGATCAAGATCTGAGCTGAAGGCAGATGCTTAACTGACTGAGCCACCCAGGCACCCCATAATCACACACTTAAAAAACTGCATTGGAGTTATGACATCTCCCCATATTTGATGGTTGAGGGAAGAGATTGGGTCTTGATCTCCTGGCGTATAGTAGAGATTCAATGCTGAGCACGTATCATAAAGAGATTCTTAAGGAATCTCACAATGCAAATAATAGACTCTACTTTTAGAAATCCTCCCATGCTTTAACATAGTCGTGATTATATCTTATCAGCAATTGCACTGAGCACACAATTTTTATATTCTGCTTTAAAAAAATTTTTTTTTACTGAATATCTACGCAGTTATATCACTTTTATGCTCTGTCAAATGGCCGGAGTTTCCTGTAATCATTCCTCCATTATGAGATATTTAAGTGGTCTCCCCATCACCTTAGGTGGAAGTCCAAAGTCCTCAGCAAGAGATAAAACATCTTTCAAGAGCTGAACCTTGGCTACCTTCACAGTTTCGTTTCCTACTGTTCATCTTTAAATCCTTGTTCTGTTCCCAACTAAGCACTTCCTCTGTCCGGCTATTGCTTAGCTGTTCCTTCTGCCTTTGCCTCACTTGGCTGGTACCTGTTTCTACTTGGATTTAGTTCCCAGGTCACCTCCTCTGGGAAGCCCTCCGTGGATACACCCACCCATCTAATCTGGCCCCCTCTATGATAAGGTTAACCAAACTTGAGGGACCACAGGGATGCATCTGTCGTATTTATTCTTGTATCCAGTACAGAGATGGGTACATAGAAAATACTCTAACAACCCCCGAGGAATAAAAGGCGGATGAATAAATATTGGCCTTTTTTTTTTTTTTTTTTTTTTTTTTGGCTTTCTCTCCTCTCCCCCGACCGATATATTCCCCTACAGAGTCTTTCTATTTCTGTTACATCACACAGAGCCTGGCACACAGTCAGTGCTTAATAAATGCTAAATTAATTACTGCTACAACCAATACCTTCAGAGCAATTTAGCTGCCTCCAAAATAAGAATGAGAAAATTTTTCAGGCGAGATATATTTCCATATCCAAAACAGACAGACAAGCCAAGTACACACTGATTTTTTTTTTTTTTAACTGTTTTTGGAGACAAGACGAATGCAGTACTCAGCCATAGACAGCATGTTCCAGGGTCATGCCTTTGTCTGAAAATCTGATTACTGGATTGGATAACACTGACTTTTTCCTACACAACACAATACATCATATTTTCCCCAGTGTGGCTGCCTGACTGTCATAGCAATGAACTTTACTCCAAAGCCATTGAAAACCGCTAACAGGAAATAACATGGAGCCTCTGGGACCACAAGGTTTAGGGAACACTGAATCTTCTGTGTACGCCGAGCTCTGTCTTAGAAGTCAAGAGACAGGGTTTCTTACTCTGGCTGCCCAAAAGATATAAGAGGCGATGTTGGGAAAAATCAAAAAATACCAAAGATAGAAGCACCTTTGGGACTTATCTAAAACCATCTTTTCATAGATTAAAAACACAACACCACAGCGGGCCTAAGAAAGGAGGTGACAAGGAAGGGGTAAACTAGTCTCCAAAGCTTGCTTTCTCAGGTCATCTATCTCCCCAGACTCTGCTTCCTCCTTCCCAGCTCCTCACTTCTGAGGTGACAGCAGGAACTATCCATGGGCATTGCCTTTTACGTAATAAAAGTGTCTGAAAGGCAGCCTCACATGGGGCAAGGGTTTGGAGTTCTCACTTCTCTTGGCTCTCCCAACTACCTCTAGCCTTTGGGATACTATCTTTTGCAGCCACAATTTTATTTCTCAATATTCTCAACCGTATGACAGAAAAACAGTCTGAGAACAAAAAACCATGGCTGAATGTGAGACAATTATGGCAGAATCTCTGAACAGCTACATGAAAACAACCTGGAGGACTGGCCTTAAGTCTGGGCTCCTCCTCCCTGTGGTCCAAACCAGCCACTAGGTCTGACCCTCTGCTTATATGGCTTAGACAGTGTCCCTGCCTTCTCAGACTTGCAAGAAGGAAAAAGGGGGCTCTAGCAAAGAACTGAAACCTGCAGACAAGGGGCTGCCTAACAGAACTGCCTAGAATCCTGCTGCCTTAGCATACTCAACCTGGTGCGTCTCATAAAAGTACACAAGGACTGACTTCTCTCAGCCCTGCATACACCCCCCAGCCACTTTAAAATTCCACATAATTTTATGGGCCTCAGATTAAGGTTTTTCATGGATAATCACTTGGTTCCTTTTTTTTTCCCCATGAATACAATTACAATTCTCCTGCCAAAGACTCTTCTCTAAGCAGATTTTATCAGGGTTTTATCAGTGCAGACAGAGGAGGAAAACAGAAGAGTGTCCACGAGTGGGGAGCAAGGGGCTGAGAGCAAAGTGGGCACATCCTTCTCTCCCCGATTCTCCTATTGCTCTCCCTCCCTGTTCTCATCTGCTTCCTAAATGTCCTCCCCACCCCCCAAGAGGGACACCTTTCTATTCCATAAACTGAGGGGGTGATTCTCAGCGTGTCCCAGGACTGGAAGCACAGCATCACCTGGGAACTTGTTGAAAATGCAAATTCTGGGGCCTCACCTCCAACTCTTACAGCAGAAATTCTGGCAAGCTGTATTTTAATAAGTGCTCGGGGTGATTCTGGGGCAGTCAGGTTTGGGAGCCACTGCTCTAAGGAAAATCAAGTACTGAGAAGGTTTGGAAGCAGCCGACTGTTCTTATTTTGAATCCAAGATGTTCAAATTCCACACCTAAATTTCAAAGGTAATATAAGCACTATCTTGAACTACATTTAGAATATTGCCAGGTATCTGGATCCCTGATGGTAAAAAACCCCTCTTATCATTAAAAAAAATGCTGCAGATTACACAAGAAAATTCAGGTGACTTAGAATAAAGCAGCTAACAGCAAATCTACCCTCAAGAACAGGTTAAATATTTAAATCACTCACTGAACTGTGTTCCCTTGGAAAACCCACTGATATAAAGACATTTTTAAAAAAATGATTTTATTTATTTATTTGAGAAAGAGAGAGAGAGAGAACACGAGTGGGGGGAGGGGCAGAAGGAGAGGGAGAAGCAGATTCCCTCCTGAGCAGGGGGAGGGCTGAGCCATGCAGGGCTCAATCCCAGGACCCTGGGATCATGATCTGAGCTGAAGGTAGATACTTAACCAACTGAGCCACCCAGGTGCCCCAAGAGTAAAGACATTTTTTAAGTGATAAAGGACAAAGAAAATAGAAAGGGAGTTAACAGTTACAAAATTTTGGAAGGTAGGAAGCAAAAGGACCCATGGAAATGACATAGCAGACCCAAGAAAACTGAGCCTAAGCAGGAATTGAAGCAACGAAGCCACCTAGTATTGTTGCATCTCCAAGAGATAACTTTGGAAATAGGGCAGAAAGCAGGCCTAAAAACAGAAAAAGCATCTGTAAGAAGTAGTCAGAGATTCCACTTTCCAGAATGGTTAGCTCAAAGCCTTTGAAAATCGACTCCTTCATAAAAGCAATGAGAACACTGTCAAAAGACAGCTGGGGAGGCTATAGTAATATCACACCAAATAGACTTTAAGATAAAAATTGTTACTAGAGACAAATAATAGCATTTTATGATGACAAAAGAGTCAATCCATTAGGAAGACAACAGAGCCCCCAAAATACATGAAGCAAAAACTGAAAGAATTGAAAGGAGAAATAGACAATTCAACAATCATAGTTTGAAATGTTGATACCACACTTTTAATAATGAACAGAACAACTAGACAGAAGATCAGCAAGGAAACAGAAGACCTGAACAGCATTATACACCAACTAGACCTAACAGCTGTCTATAGAACATTCCACCCCATAACAGCAGAATACTCATTCTTCTCAAGTGTACATGAAACATTCTCCAGGAGGGGCCAAATGTTAGGTCATAAAACAAGCCTTAATATATTTACAAGGACCTAAATCATAAAAGTATGTCCACTCATCACAGTGGAATGAAATTAGGAATCAAATGCAGAAAGAAATTTGGGGATTTCAAAAATATGTGGAAATTAACATACTTCTAAATAACTGATCAAGAAAAAAAGCACAAATAAAATAAGAAAAAAACTTTGAAGTAAATAAAAATAAAAATACAACACATCAAAACACGGGATGCAGCCGTAGCAGTACTTAGAGGAAAATTTATAGCTGTAAACACCTATGTTAAAAAAGATCTCATATCAATAACCTAATCTCCCATGTTAAGTACCAGAAAAAGAACAGACTTAACCCAAAGCCAACGGAAGG